TAGATAGATAGATAGATAGATAGATAGATAGATAGATAGATAGATAGATAGATTAGGACAAATGAGACCTTTGTTGGAGTTGAAATCAGAATCGCCCAGCTCCACAAATTGATGTAGCAAAAAACAAATTGCTTTTATCCTTCCCCTCAAGGTGACTGGCATTGTGCAATACAAACAGATGAGAGAATATGCATGACAAACGCTTGCTTTCTCCTTAACAACAGCACATTATAGTGCTGAGATTTGCTCCTCTATCACCTCCACCCACAGCACATATGGAACAGCCATGTGGGCTTGAGAAATGCCCAGATTTTTAGATGTGTTTACTTTCGTGCCATCCCCTTATTATATAACCTGTACAGCATGCTACATGGAAGAATACTGCTACTATGAACCATCAATTTAGACATATGGAGCTTTGGATTCCGATAGTATGCACAGATAACCCAAAACACACTCCCAGAGTTCATTTGACAAATTAAATATAAAGCACACCTGGAAATGTACCCATCTCCAAAAACTCCAAATCTCTCTCTCTCTCTCTCTCTCTCTCTCTCTCTCTCTCTCTCTCTCTCTCTCTCTCTCTCTCTCTCTCTCTATATATATATATATATATATATATATATATATATATATATATATATATATATAACACAGAGAGTGTGTATATATATATATATAATATATATATATATATATATACACACTCTCTCTGTGTTATATATATATATATATATATATATATATATATATAAAACACACAGAGAGAGTGTATATATATATATATATATATATATATATATATATATATATATATATATATATATATATATATATATGTAACACACAGAGAGAGTGTGTGAGAGAGAGAGAGAGAGAGAGAGAGAGAGAGAGAGAGAGAGAGGAACCGATCAACTTGTTAATCTTACAATGCAGTCTGGATGGATGATATGGGTAATCAAGTTGGCAAACCAAGACAAAGGACATAGATTTTCATCTGCTGCTCACTGTGATTCCTCCTAACCCCTAACACTCCCTCACACGGTTCTCACTTAATTTGAAAAGTGTGTTTAATGCAGATATACAATTCTCTCTACATCTCCCACCCAAACCCAAAGGCGTTGGGAAAGAAGGAACTGTATCACTGCTGCAGCAGAAAAAGATTCACAGATTCACTTTTTGAAGGGTAAAATCAGAAAAAAAAAAGACAGAGATGATTACATTTTCTCCTTACCAACTGTATAACTGACATATTTTTGCCCTCTGTGAATAAATGGTTTAAAAATGTATATTCATGTTTCCTTTCCTGGCAGACATCCACACTCTAAACATCCATGAAGAAAGTGTTTCCAACAGCAGGACCGGAAGGACATTAGGGACATAGGACTAGAGTTTATGACAGAGACAGCAGTTAAAAAAAGGATCGACCAGCTTCCTTATCTGAATTTAAAAACAACAAAGGTGAAAGTGTTTATTTATGCCTAACATTTCTTTTGTCTTTATTGCAATGGCCATCAGTTGAGAAGCCAAAAATATATTCATCTGTTTCTAAGGGAAAAATGCAATAAAAACACCTTTAACATTTGGAATGGGGCATTTATCTCTTATGAGTTTGTTTGATTTTCAAATGAGCAAATATGTTCTTCCAGAAAGGTTTTAATTTTCTTATGTGCTCTTCTCATAAGTGTCTTATCAACATATCTGATAGTTTGTATTCCTGAAAACATACACTCATATCAAATACTTTGTTTTTTTGAAACAGTATATCTACCCTATGAGAGATATATTCATGTGTCAGTTGGGAGTATAATTTATTTCTTCCACGTCTTAATTTTACAGTAATAATTGCAAGGAGAACATTTCCTGTCACTTATTAGTGGAACATGAAATCTGAATTAGAACATAATAAGGTTTCAGTGGAGTACTAGTGTTTTGATGTCATGCAACGCTGATATTCTCATTAATTCTGATGGGGCAGCCAGCTGTACACAAAATGATACCATTAAATTAGTTGATCAGGTTGTGATGAGAAGTAAAACAATACAATCTAATAATAAACATGTTTCATTATAAACTTAATATTTAAAAATTCTGCTGAATATGAATAAAACACTCTATGCTTTTTAGAATTAATCTTGTGTAGATTTCAGCTATAGCTCTGGAGCTGAAGGGTAATTCCAGTGGACTCATAATCTTCAAGGTGCAATGGTAGGAAGGGCACAATTTACTATTCGATCCTTTTTTTTTTACCTTTGAGCCATGTGTAGTATTGAGATTCCCCTTGAACACTCTCCTTTCCCATGCCTTTTTTTTCCAAATTAATTTTTGATAAAAGTTGTATCCTGTGCCAAAGCACATAAAGTGCAGATGGAAGGTGACAGTAAAAATGGGACTCTGAAGTGCAGCATCAGCTGGATAGAGATATATCAGCCTCACTATGTCAAAACATATGTGATGACTCAACCCTAAAAGCTGATAAGAGATCTACAATAACCAAAACTAGTTGAAAGTGAAAGTTTTCTAAACTGCAGATGGCACAGACGTACTCACATCAAGTTAAAGCAACATGACTTTCAGTTAGAGTCGCAGTTTTGTAAGGCTTTTCAGCTCTCTTTTCTCTGAAGGGGGAAAATTAACCTCAGATCCAAACTTTTTATGAGCAAAGGAGAGAAACTGAAAATGATGACAGATACCAGGTTCTCTTGGTCCTTTGGGAGGAAAGTTAAAAGAAAAGTGAGGTGTGTTGGGACTCACTGCTGATTCACTGGTGGGAAGAGATGTGAGTGGGAGAGTGTTTGGACGGAAAGAAAGGAGGTATGGAGATGAAAAAGAGCATTGTCAGATTGTAGCACTCCCCAAAGGGGAAACATAAAGCTCCTTAGCACGTGCCTGAGCACTACTGGTGACATTTGTCCATACAGCTATGACAAAAGAGCAAGCCAGGCGACCCTGCCTGAACACCAATCATCTGCCTGCCCCATCTCTGCCACAGTGCTAAAATGAGACTGTCATTTTGTACTGCTGTTCTTTCACTACATGTCACTGCATGGCAAAAAAAGATTGATGCTCTTCCTTTTTTCATTCTTATTCAGAACCCGACTCTTTGTGGTAGGATTAGCTGATTTGGAACGCTGATGAAGCTCAGGCAGCTCAACTGGGCACTAAGATACGTCTTCATTATGCGTAAAGTGCTCCTAAAACATCATCATTAGCCTTGAGAGAGCTGGATGGCAGGCCGTGGTCTGGAATGGGCCTGCCATGTAAAGGCCTGTCATTTTAAAAGAGGAATCTGGCTGCCTATGTCAGGTTTCTAACTGCTTTCATACAGTTAGATGTTCTTGTGGATAACAAATGCAGCTGAAGTCAGTTTTTGCCATGAAAGTTTTGAAATTTTTATGAGAGTGAATTTGTCACTAATTTCACTGTGTGTTATTTTAAAACCAGATTTTAATTGTCCTACACTCAAAGAAAATTAGTAAAAACTTTTCTGGCATAAAGGCAGCCATGACCTTCTGTGCTCTTAATCTTAGTCACCACATAGGTGTTTTCTGTGCTGCTTACACAGGTAAGGGCAAATGTAGAATTTTGCTGCTGATGAGTCTGACATTTATCTCCTGAAAGATGCGAAGCAAAACTATAGGCAAAATACAGGGAAGTATTGAACATAAGCACATCATGAAGGTAAATTGTAGTGGTGATTGTGGATGCTCTTACATATATACCTGGCTCTTTATTTAAACTAAAAATGCATTTTATTAGTTGAGTCACAAATTTGTCAAAAGCAAGTTATCAAGTTTCAAGTTTTTATTCATTTTTAGGTTGACAAAGTGTTCATCAATCAAAAGATATTAGGTGTGAGACTGATGGTTTAAAGATCCATCCATGAATAGGAACATCTCAGTAGTGTTGTAGCTCTTGGTATTTCTGTGGTATTTCATGCTTGCTCCAAAAGGTAAGTTGAAAAACATTTTAATTCCAAACACATTTTTCATGTATAGGCACAACCAGCCTTGATAATTGGGAAGCTTTCAATATCCAGAAGCAACTTGGGAGAACTGTGACAAAATGTTAATACGCTTTTGAAGGTAGCAGAAGAAAACGTTGCCTGACTGAATTTAAACTTTCTAACTGCACCTCTGTTCGCCTCCAGGCTGCCAGTATTTGAAAAAACATAAAACAATGTTGTTTTTCTTTCTCTCCTTTTTTTTCACCCAATTCTGTGGAAAGTGAAGAGTCCCATATTACAATCAATAAATATGAAATAAGGATATTAATGTGTCATTAATTTATTTTAACTGGAAATAAATACAAACATAATCAATCAAATATAGAATTAATTATATGTGATTTAAACGTGTGGAGATCATTTTAAAACGTCTAAATATTTAACAAATTAATTTATTTCATGTTCGTATGTTGAACCACATCATGAAATAATTCAAACTGTCAACGGCACCCATAAAACAGAGTGGTGGGCTTGGGGCAGACCCTGACGTCTGATTGTTGTTCAAGTTCAAGACTGAGCGCTAGCTGGTGTAAGCTAGTGGGCGGGGCTAACATTGATCTTGAAGTCTGTCGTAGCGTTCTCCATGAAGGACTACTGTGAGCTCTCTGGTGAACTTATTAGATATAATTCAGACCAAACTAGAGATGTAGAGGCTGAAGTTTCTTACCCAGAGTTTGTAGTAAACAATTTACAGAAATTGTTAAAGTTATTTTTTTCTTGTCAAATTAAAATATGAGATTAATGAAGTATTTTTAAGGTATATTGGCAGAGTTAAATATTAATAACTTTAACTTTTAAAGTTGATTGTAGCTCTCTGCTCTGACGTACCATAATTATATACAATCAGCAACACAATAGTGTTTGTTTATACCACTTTAGAGACATAGTCCTTCATCACTTCTTCAGCAGTTCTTAACTCTGCAGTCACTGGGTTGGGAGCTCACTCAATTGGACTTTATTTCAAACCTCCAAATTTATTATGGTGATCCCTTACTTCTATCTGAAGCAGAGCCTCCTCTCTTTGACGGAGCACCTCCACATCCTCCTCACTGATCTCAGACAGGAAAGCTTGGACTCCTTCCTCAGCACCTGCTGCTTCTCCAAACAGTGGGTCCTCTTGATTCAGGTCACTGGATGGAGTCTGGGGACTCTGAGGACACATGAGGATTACACAAAAATTAGAGTCATCTATAAAGTTGTCATATACTTGAACTAATACCTGTAGAAAAAATGCAAAGGTGACATGAAGACCCTGGGATTTATCTTGAGTTGAAATAAATATTGCAACAGTGTCTTCACTGTCAGGGTTCTTACTAAAACCAGCAAGATAGAGCACATCACCCCACTTCTTAGGTTCTTCCACTGGCTCCCTAGAGCTCAGAGAATTAAAATACTTAAAAACACTAAATGACTTAACACCAAAATACATTAAAGAACTGCTGTTGTTGGATCAACCTTCCAGACCACTCATGCTTTCTGGTTATGGACTGCTCTGCATCACAACCAGAACCAAGCATGGAGAAGCAATATGCAGCTTCTATGCACCACAAATCTGGAGCAAACGTCCAGAAAACTGGAAAGCAGCCGAAACAATAAACTACTTTAAATCAAGGCTAAATACCCACATGTTTAGAGTTGACTTTCATGAACTGTAACTGGAATATTATTAATTTTAGTCATTATTCCAATATTTTATGGTGATAATTATGATCCTTTTGATTATAACATTTGAGAATATGTGATATATGTTGCTTTTTTTGTTTTGTTTTCATTTTATAAACACCTTAAATGAAAATGTCAGTTGGGTCCTCCAATCATTTGGAGGACAATATGTAACTCCCTGTCAAAAACAACCAATCAGACCCAGGAGGAATGTCTTAGCAGTCTTCATTACACGTGTGCTCTCCATAACAAACAGCACTGATCAAGCTCAAGATTGACAGTGGGCTGCAGCTGTGCTAATGAAACAACTTAACATTACAGAAAGACTTTTTTTTTAATGTGAAACATTGAAATGAGAAATGTTCAGTGCTACTGAAACCTTTAGACATGATTGTAGTTGTTACCACATACTTTCTGAAATGGTTTTTAAACAAGTGAGGATTAACAAAACTAAACAAAGACGCTGCAGTAATGTCCTGGGAATTCAATGCTATGCGTCTTTTTATAACAACTGAAAAAAAAATCAGCAAGAAATAATGACAAAATTTTTGCTTAGTGCATTTTGCTGTAATGACTAAGAGAACGTAGAGCCACATTAATTCCACATGCTCCCACTGAAACACGCAAAGGAAAGAAAAAAAAGAAAAAGTCATGGTCTCCGTTTTTGCGTTGCTAAAAACATTGCTCACTTTTGTGAGGTTGATTGCACAGCTTCGAGGTAGACGGTCCAGTATGTATGTGTCAGAGCACAGGGACCAACCTGGGCTGACTCACAGCGCTGTGTCTATTGGCCTGTGTGACTCACCAGTCAGTTAATTCTGTAACAGTGTGCTCACTCCTCCTCAAAGATACACGCCACTGTGGAATGAATTAGTTTAGCAAACAGACAAGGGGAAAAAAAACTGTCAAAACAATCATGCTGACACTTTATTCCATAAGTTCACAAGCTGCTGACATGCTCAAACAACTTCAAGTTTCCTCTTATTGATTTCTAGTCCATTATGATGGTTATTTTAAAGAAGTGCGTGGGAAACAGCCAATACCTTTGGTTGAGAAAATGGATCCGGATGCATATGTATGAGATTCAAAATGTCGCCTTTAATGATCTGATATTTTCCCAATGCAAATGTTTTCACTTGCTCCACAATGCATAAGATCTTTTTGGATCAACTAGTTGTTCCATAGCACACCCACTGATTAGTGAACTTACCAGGAAACAAAGAAAGTGGTCAGAGAAATATAATTTACCATTTAGCTTTCCACCCCCAGAGGTCTCTGTGTTGCATTTTTGCAGACCTTGCTGATGTGTCTTTCAGAGAGGAATAAAATTATCAGTTATGTGACTTTTGTATCATAAAAAAGATGAATTTTAGGGGTTCTATGTGGAAACAAATGTTCTTCATTAAACTGGTTCTGCTAGATCAAGCTGCAGTTCTCTTTTCCGGTTAAGAGTACAGTTAATACTTAAGTACATGTCATTGAGTAACTGTTGTTAGAAGACAGAGCTGCTGACCAAACTTTTACTCCCCCTCCTCTGTTCGAGATTACTGTTTCACTGAGACATTAAAAAAACTGTACAGAATATAAATGGACTTTGCAGGACCTTGGTGAGACCTTCCAGAGCAAAGCATTTAGATAGACATAAAACAACAAAAATGTTCTTAGATTACTGAAAGCATGAACAAAACCTCTGCATGGAGATAGAGTGGTCCTTTTACCATGTATATAACGGGTGGGAAAATAAGGTCATAGTGGCAATGTGTTCATTCAGTGAGGAATGTGAAATTGGATGGGCACTGCTGACCAACTCATCAAGCCAACATCAGGCTGTTGCAGTTCTCCAAATAAGTCCCAATAATTATTTTGGTCCAGCAGCTGCTCCAGTAGGTTATCTGTTTTTAATTCAATCACTGCTATAGATTTAACCACAACCATTTTAAAATTCAACTTCAACAAGTAATTTGTGTTTTCTCTACCAGTGAAATGCAGTCAGGGGAAGGCGGTGCCTCATCTGATGTCAAACAAAACCAATTTGTCTACTTGACTGTTCTATAAATTTGTATAAACATCAGGTTTTAAAAACTGTATTGTTTCAATATTTTAGAGTCAAAATCCTGAATTTACTCAATACATGTTAAACATGGGAAAACAGTGAGGTGCAGCAGTGAGGAGCTGTGCCTTACCTCTGGAGATTTACTGCCACACACTCTTACTGAAGCAGGCAGCTGGCACATTCATTACTGTCCCTCTTTGTATCAGAAAAACATCTGATCATACATGTGCTACACATATTGATGTTCCACAGTGTGTCTAGCATACTTAATGAATCTGTGTTCTTCTGATTGGCCATAAATGTGTAGTACAAATGCAATGGGTAAGGCGAAAGTAAAAGCCGCACTGATAGGGGGTAGCACTGGTCCCTCTGGGATGGATGGATGGATGGATGGATGGATGGATGGATGGATGGATGGATGGATGGATGGATGGATGGATGGATGGATGGATGGATGGATGGATGGATGGATGGATGGATGGATGGATGGATGGATGGGATGGATGGATGGATGGATGGATGGATGGATGGATGGATGGATGGATGGATGGATGGATGGATGGATGGATCCAGGTGATTTTCTTTGGGCAAGTAAATAATAGATTCCAACATGCCTGCTCAGACAGATTAATAAAAGTGATGACAAGAGAGTTTCAGCAAAAAACAGTAAAGCTGACAAAAACCGCAGCAGCTCACCAAGGTATTTTCACAATTGTGCTCAACATCAAATACTAGAGTTATTAACCCTCAGCTCTGACCTGTTCACGCAATGATAATAAAATAATTCCTACCAGCCATAAAATAGTATAAGTTCCAACAAGCTGTGTGGCACTAGTAAATCGGAGTGGAACACACTACACAGGGTTTCAAAGAAGCTCTTGTGTAGATACAAAGGCCATCTCATTTCATCTCATCTCATCTCATCTCAGCTCAGCTCATCATGCCACTCTCACATGAATGGTGGTGAAAAAAGAGGATTTTCGTCCACTGCAGCAACTCACCTTATTCTTGTCTTTCTGTGCGGGAGGGAGCAATGCCCTTGATCGCTCTGCGATTTTCTGCAAGACAACCAAATGAACAGACAGGGTAAAGAGAACTGATTTCTCCTCTATATTAAAAGATTTGTTTTTATTCCTGCCACCATGTGAACAGGCATGTATGGTTTTCTGCCAGAAATGCCAGTTGATTCAACTCCTTACAGCCAATGGAACATGGCTTTGAATTCCAGCTACCTTCTGAAGATCCCCATAGCGCTGCACAGAATCTGAGAGTTCAGTCTTCAGTCTGGTCAGACGTAAACGATCTTGCTGTGCAACAAAACAAGATTAGCTTTAATTAGCACAACTATTGTGTAATCTGCTGTTTATTCTTCAATTGACAACCCATGAGGGAGGTGTGGCAGGATAAAATACCCGTGAAGACCCGCTGATTATATCAGAGAGCTGTTTGATGAGATGACTTGTGCTGGTGATGACTTTGTTGGTCTGCTGCTGAGTGGAATGTCTGGGGCAGAGACAGAGACAAAGAACTGGCTTATAGGAAGGCATGATATGACATGTTCTCAGTATAAATATTGAAGCCATACATATAATCCACTGGTCTCTTTATTAACAGCAAACACAAATCAAGTATCAAAAATGGCAATTTTCAATAAGATTTGGTAGCTGGATCATAAACCCCATTATTTATAAAAATGCATTATGAAAACTTATTAACTGTGTGAATTTTCAAACAGTGTGTATCTTATTTAAAGTAAAAGAAAAAATAACAGTTACCAGAAAATATTCAAAAGTTGTTTTCAGTGAAATGACTTCATAATATCAGGGGGGAATATAAATTCAAAGATCAGAACCAAAATAAATTTTAGCGTTTCAGTTTGTGGTCTGAAACTATAGAGCAGTTTGACCATGTCCAAAGATTAAAAACATTTCAGACTTCTGTATAAGGAAATGCTCTACACACAAAAAAAGAGACTAGCTTGATTATATTGTGTTGTCATGATGTTTTATAGCATTATTAGCATCAATAGTATTGTTGCTGTTTTTGTTCATACTATAGAAGTAATATTAGAAATACTATTATCTATGAGAATATTGTCAGAACATGATTGGATGTAAGGCATCAATCAAGAATCTGAGAGTAGTAATGTATTGCTACGATACTTAGAAAAAAGAAGAAATCAGAACATCGTTCCACTTTCTCTGACTGTATTGTCTGTTTTGTTGGTGGTTCATGAAGAGATGTTGGCTTAAGCATTTCTAGTTTATGACTAGCTATAGTTTTGCTGATGCAGGACTACCCATGGCATTAACAATGGGTGTGGCACCCCTGTAGAAAAGGCTACATCTCAGAGAGAGGTTTATCTGATCTCTCTGTCTGAGGTCAACGATGACCCGTAAAATATTCACCAGTTTCAGATGAACACACACAAACATTGACCTTCTGATGGCAGCAGATGTTTTAGAAACTTGTTCCAGACTAAAAGACACCCAACATTTCATTGTCAAAACATAAAAATCAAGTGAGTTTTTGTGGGTTGTTTACATGGGTTGTTGTTTGTCTTATTTTCACAGCATATCATGCATAAGTTGTACATGATTGCACAGCATATTACTAAAAGGTTCAACTTGTTTTAAGTTTGGTTCCTTTTCCTTGGTTTCATGTCAGGAACAGCACTATGTTAAATATTGTTTCATTTAAATTGTATGAATACAGTCTCAGCCTCCACACTTTTTTCCCTCAGTGTTTGAAAACATATTTACAGTTGTTAGACTTCCATTCCATAGTGCTGCAGTACCATGCTGTGCCAGTAGGAGAAAGTATTGGCGGAGAAAACGTGTTTTCTCTGACACTGAGTTACTTTCCTCATGGTCAATAAGTTTCTCAACTCACTTTTCATGTTTCAAGTATCAATGGTATATAAACAAAATGTTTAAAAAGACAGTTTTTAATAGTATAGTGATGATTAACCGAACTCAATATTGTAACATCCATACTCTCCCTCATTTCATGTTTGTTTTTTGTCTGTAACAAGTGCCGCTCAGGGAAGAGGTAGAACATACAACCATTTTCATAACTCTGCAGTATGTGTCCTAGAATGTCAGGTTAAGACTGTTATTAAATATCCATGCTGTCAGGTCGTCCTGGGGTTACAATACACACATCACTCCTCCTTGCAATTTTCCTGACTTGACACTCTGTCGGTCTGGTGTGCAGAGATGTCTCAGTCATGGATTCTCAGAAAGTGATCCCCCTAAAACTGATGGCAGAGGAAGGACCGGTAGACCACAGAAGACGCTTGTCAACATAACTTTGGGTCTGTTGGTTAAAAATAATTTAAAAATATATTTAATAAGTTAGGATATGCATTCTGATGAGGCTCATTACTCGATTAAAACTTCCTCTTGAAAATAACCTGTAAGCTAATAATAAAGATATTTGTTATTTCAGTATTATTGTATCCTTATGTAATATTCTAGTCCTACATGTCTTGTTTCCATTAGTTGTAAGCATATTCTCATAAATCATAATGATTTATGATGATTTATGAAACTGACTGACTAACTTGAAAGCGTCTGTCAGTTTAAACAACTTTTTATTCAACCCAGTATTTTTGACAGAAAATGAAAAATAAATCTTTCAGTAAGTATCAGAACAATGTAAAGCTGTATCAACTTGAAAATTACATCTTTTTAGACCTTTGTCAAAAAGTAATCAATAGAATTTTTTATGGTGTAACCGAAGTCAAACTGTTAATTGCTGAACCTGGGATGAAGAACATTTGGGGAATATAATCCCAAACACTGCATCAAATCTACAACAGAATGACTGAAAATGAAAATAAAGTATATAAAGTACCATCAGAGCTGATGGTACTTTAGATACTATCACAAATTTCCAATATTAATGATATAATGTACTTAATTCTAGATTATTTTGTGATCAGTTAAAATAAGAAAATTAATTTCAATATGCTAATTACAATAAAGGTAACAGAGTTCACATGACATTCACACTCTTCTGCTTTCACAAATAAATACAAGTTCTCTGTCAGTCTTGAGAGGGCCTGCCTTACAAGAGAACAATGTTCCTCAAGGTTATTGGACAGGTGTGTTAGCAAAAGATTTAGAAAACCTTTGAGAATGTCATATACCAGAGCTTGGAAAAGGCTGGGTGTATTGGTACACAATGTCCAGAACAGTCTACAGTCACTAACCCTACAGTATTTATCCATCCATTATCTACATACACATATTCTTGTAGGGTTGCAGGTGGTTGGTGCCTATCGCCATTGGTTGTTGGGTGTAATCTATATTTTCTATGAAAAAACGATAATCCACAATTGGTAAAAAAAAAAAAAGAAAAAGAAACTTTTTATTTGAATTAAATCAGCTCTTTCTTAATGGATAACCAAGCATTTGCTGGTGTCAGTGGGAGAAACAGAACAGATATCTTTAAAATGTCAGCTATCATCTAAAAATACCATCTGACCTGTGCATTGGTGCTGATGATCTGCAATGACTCATCAATGCGTCAGCAGGAGTCCCACTCACAACAATCAGATCCTGTCCATCTCTCTGGATCTGAACAGCATTAGAGCCCAGCAGGAAATCAACTGGTCAGACTCCTGCCACTGCCTGCTTTCAGTTGGAAACAGCATAGTGAAAGCTTATTCTGCAATAAGCATCTCTGGTCATATGTTTCTCCTGTGTGTTTGCCATTTGCTTTTCTTTGAGGTTGGGCTAATTGTAATGAGGGAAGGTGGGAGCAGCTGGCTGCAGGGGAAGGTGTAAGGCTCGGGGGAGGCATCGAGTAGGATCTGCATTCTGCAGAGCACGATGGAGTGCTGGCTGTTCTTAGACTGCGGTCATAATTTCAGGATTCTAACTGATAGTATCCAATTTTCTGAGCTTTGGTGTGCTGGAGTTGGTTCTCTCAGCCAGCTGCCCTCACATCGATTCACCTGACAAATCAAAATGTTTCTTAAAAGCAAGCAGTGACTAAAGTCACAAAAAGCAAGAGTGCTATGATGACACCTTGCCAACGTAAAAGTGGAGTCAATTCATCACAGCAGGCCAATCAATATCTTAGCTGAAAATGTCAAGCAGTTTTCAGAATTCTTCTTCTTGCTTTATCTGATGGTAGCGGAGCAATGTGAAGCAGAATCTGGGTGAACAATGTGATCAGGTCAGTTTGTAGCAAAAAGTAGATTATATTGCAGATTTATTTCAACTGTTTACCAAATAAGAATCACAGGGACACATTTTTGAAGATCTGTAAAGTTTGTTCTGTGAGTATACAATATCTCCACATTGTTATTGTCTCTTAACTGAAAAAAAAAAAATTCATTAATAGACTTTAAAAATTTACATTAGACATTTTTAACTTGTGAGTCACCAGAAATGTACCCAACTGTCTATGACACAAAGACTAATAAAAAAAAAACTCACCTCACTGCTATCATACACAAAACTGCAGGTTTGGATTCCATGTGACATAAATATGCATCTCAGATGAAATATACACCTACAGTTTTTCATGCAAGGCTGAAAAGCAACAGGACTCCACACTAATGTGGGTTTGAGAGAGAAAGTGATGCTGGCTGGTTGTGTAAGAGTGGAGGAGGATGAGGTGGAGAACCACATCAACGCAATGTGTGAATAAATATCACTGGCATATTCTACCGTTTCCCTGCTGTGAGAAATATTTTGTTTTTGTTTGTGTGTTTGTCTGTTTGTTTGTTTTTTTATCATTTATTGACTATGTAAATTTGAGAAGATTGTAGGTTGTTATTGCAGATTAACTTTTAATTCATAGTACTGTGTAGTAGACAAATGGTACACGTTTTTTTAATTTAGACACTATTGTGTCTATTGTTCAGGATCATTAACAAAAAATGGAACTTGTTACGATTTTCTTTTGAAATTGTTTGTTTTTGTTGTTTGTTTTTTGTTTTGTTTTTTTTCCTGCCTGTCATCCATGAAAACCAGAGTATGAGTGTTCCTATCATCAGGCTCTTCCACTTTCAACATGGGACTCTTGACTCTTTCTCTAATTAATACTTTTCATTTGGTTCAGGTGGCAGGGGGAGAAGATTGCAAGATTGAAGCTCTCCTGGAGTGAAGTAAAAATGTTAACCTTGCGTATTGCTTTTGTTACTAACTGTTGAGTAAAGACAACCACAAAAACAACTGGAAATTTTAAAAATCACTCAACAACTATGCACTAAGTTATGTTGGTCTCTCACATGACAAAAACAAGCAATAAAACAAAATGTGATCAAATATAAAGTAGTGCATAGGATTGTGAACATTACATGTACTGTAAACAGTGGGCTAACAGAGACTGTGAACAAGCGGTGACTTTACTTATACATAAATTTGGATTACAACTGAATGAACAAAAGCATCATTCTGTGTAAATCTTTTGGAACAACTCAATTTCTTGTTTCTTTTTCTTTTTTTTTATCGAACAGCATCAATGCAGTAGAGAAATACAAACAGGTAAAAGTAAAAGCAGTCAAGCATTGAAAGCTTCCAAGGCTGTCATAAAATTGTTGGAAGGGATTGATGACATGCCAGCTAAAACAGCAGGAGGTGATGCATTTTAAACGAGTGCAATCATCTTTGATTGGACACTTGTCAACAATGTAGAATCTGGCCATTTGCAGAAGATTGGCTGAAAACAGCAATCAATAGGATTTTAAAAACAAAGAGAAAATAAGAATGCTTGGCTGTAACAGCCAGGGTGTGTATGCATGCATGCGCGCACATGCGTGTGCGTGTGTGTGTGTCACTCACAGGCTCTGTCGCAGCTCTGTTGTGTCTCTGGAAGTACCCAGTGACTGAAGACTTTTCTCCAAGATGACAACTGAAGAAAAAAAGTGCATGAAACAAACTTTTAAGGACATCAAAGGATCTCACATACACTTCCGGACATTTTAAGAATCATTTGGGCAAGCTTAATATTTTTAATGACTAAATTGGAATTGTTTCAAAATGACCACTTTGTTTTAGTAACGTTAATAATCACAGAATCATCCTGTCAATAAATATCCACAGAGTAAAATTTAAATCCATTATTCTTTTTTAATTGAATTAAAAAAGAATTCTTATGGTAGCCAGGCTACCATAAGAATGGGGACTGGGGGAAATGTCATTATGTCATAATAACGTAAATTTACAGGAAAATACTGATACAGGAGCACTGCAGGTAAGAGGGGTAAAATGCAGTGGCTTTCTAGCCAAAACAGGAGACTTGGCAAGTATGACTTGACACGCTATTGGGTGGCGTTTACAGGGCAGTCAATCCAGGAGTACCATTTTTTTTCTTTCCTGCTGATTGGCTTAAACTAGGCAGTTCACACTGTTTTTAGAAGGAGTTTGAAATATTGGCAAATTTGTTTCTATTCACTTCCAGCTCTGGTCACTGTGTTTCTTAAATTAACCCTCTCAGGCTAAAATTACTTGCAAAGACTAGCTAAGTAGAATTTAGCTGTTGCAAATCTGCAACATCTGCCTAGAGTGGGTTAAACGTTAATGTTTACTTCAGATTATTGTTTTTGTTTTTTTGTTTCTTTGTTTTGTTTGTGAACTTCACAATTTCTCAAAGTTTGTCAATGAGGATCAATAAATACTTCAAGCTAAATAAGTTCCTAGTCATGGAGGGGTATGAGTCAAGGTCAATAAAAACTCCCAAAGAGGAAATATTTACAAAGTACATAAAGCCTAAAGTTTAAAGAGGCGTGTGTTTTTGTGTCACCCACACACATGCAAACCACGCCGAGTTTAGGTGGTGAGTCATGACTCTACCATTGCCGTTGATCTGGAAGATATTGGAGGAGGCTTCTTGAAACACATCTTGTAATTCTGAAGGGCTGACCTGTGTGGCTTTGAAGAAAAGACAGTTTGAGAAAGCCAACATCATAAACATGTACAGCACAGCAAAAATCATTGCACATTATTAAGGTTTACAGCTGTCTGGCTGTTTGTTCAGAGACACCAGAATGACAGACCTTATGGTATCTCTCTTGACTAGTGATGATGGAGGTGGATTGAAAAAAAATCGCATTCACATTGTTTAATAATAAGACATGTTTTTCCTCCAAACAGAATCATCACAATATGAACATAATTGATACAAATTCAAATAGAGCCTAAATAATAAAAAGCACCACAGGATTCTTCATAGCAGCAGACATGTGACTGCAGACTGTTATCAAAAGTCCTGTTTTTATATACATGAAAGTAAGAAAGTTCTGTCGCCACGTTATGAAGCTCCTCTTATCTGCATTTGAGCCAGAAAATGAAACCAGCCTTATATAAGCAGGTACAAGCTTCAGTTGTTCATGACTAATCCAACCGTTCTGCTGCTGCCCTAATTACTGATACTAATGCATATTTAGAATACAAACTGAACCTGACAGTTTGCATTCTAAATATGCAATTCAGCAGTAGCAGTATTTTAAAACGATGTTTCTTATTCATTTTAGAAAATATCTTTTTTTTTTTTATCAGGATCAGAGCTTCTATCTACAGCTTCAAGACTCAGTTTTTAGTGTTGGCTGGCAGCAAAAGGATCCCAGGATCAAATCATGGCCAAGGCCTTTCCGCATACTCTCCCCTGTGTGTGTGGGAGGGTTCCCTCTGTACTTTGTGCATATTATTCGATATGAAATCTTGCTTAACAAAGTTGATAGAAATTATCAAAATATGGCTTCACATTTTTGCTATGTTGGATCTCTGGACTGTATTTTACCAACTTAGGAATGTTTGTCTTGATATGAAATTTAGAAACTTCTATTTGCCTGCAATTAATGTATATATTGAAATAATAGTGATATGAATCAAGATGTGACTTAGAGAGGCATCTCAATATTACGTGAAAATTGATGAAATTTAATGATGGGGATGGAAGCCAGCAACACTGAGAGTGTATTAAAATGAACTTTGAGTTATCAAAAATATTAGCTTTATCTAAACCTTGAACTTCAGCTATGTTAGACTCAGTCCTAACCAAAATTATCTAAGGACGTGTTATTTTGCTATCACTTCCCCAATTTCTGATATGATTAACCCAGCCACAGTGAACACATCATACCACAAGCCACACAGTCATTAAATCTTTATGTATGAAATCTTCTCTTGATCAAGAAGCTTATATAAATTTACATACCTATATCTAATCTTCCTTTCTTTTTGGAAATTCTTGAGAAAATAGTTGCTGATCAACTGTGTGAGCATAAATGGTAATGAAAGCTTTGAAGAGCTTCAGTCACAGTTCAGAGCTGATGAACTCTAGTGAAAGTTGCTTGGGCCAGTTTTCTCTACTTATATTCTATATAGTATATATTCTATTCATTTACAAATTCTATATGCTTCCTATTGGTAAAATTACAGACATTGTAAGATGATTATCTATTGCTATAGTAATGGTACTCAAGTATATTCTTCCATTAATCCTGTTGAATCAAAACAGTTAGGTAAGTTGCATCTTAAAGTCATAAAAACCTAAATGACTTTAAATTTTCTGTTTTTAAATTAAGAAAATACAGAAGTTGTACTGCTAAGTGGTTGTAAACCAAACCACTTAGCAGGTCTCTGAATTTGAATGGCATTTTATTGACCTCAAGCATTAAAGTAAAATAATATTTTTGCTATATTTTACCTACTTTTAAATCTGGGCTTAAAACTAACCGTTTTTGTTGAAAACATTGTCCATTTTGGTAAAGCTTAAATTTAGTGATATACACTTGGTTATCCTGAGCTGATTTTATAGCTATACTGATATAGACTTAGGCTGCTGGAGAACAAAATGGCCACCTTTTCTCACTTTTCTGTATTCTCTTTCCCCTATTAAACTGTGTGTTATTTGATATTTCAGTTTTTGGTGTTATCATCTAGCAGTGTTGGTTCGACTGCTGGCCTAGCATTCTGTTGAGCTGTGACACTTTCTGGATGGGGTCATCGGCTGAACTAGGCAGCAAGTAACTTGATGTTCTCCCTCAATTCTCTTTGCGCAAAGCACCTTATATTTAAATTTTTTTGAGAATGTATCCTACATAGATCAATTGTTCCAAAATGAATATGGAGTGTGTGTTACAATAAATAAAGGACATGGAAGACCACCTCTGTCTTTGCAGTAATGATCATGCAACAGACAGAATCATTAGTTTGGAATCTGTGGGCTGGAGTCTTCCTGTTCAGAAGACGTTGTGGATAAATGACAAGTGCGGGGTTAATGGTCTGAAGCTGCAATACATTTTATGACCCTCATAAGCTCTATGCAAAAACACACCAACCCACACTTTAACCAAATACCGCAAACTATTAAGTACTCAAAATAATCTTCATTCTGACATCATCATGAGCACATATCTACAAAATTATAGACATGTTAAAATACTCAACAGTGTGAAAATAAAGATTATAAGTGTGTCATTGAGGCAGGCAGGCAAAAGTCAAACACAAAAAAGGACATTTGAAATGTACCTGTGCAAGTACCGTGACATTCTGACTGAACATCATTAACTTCACATCTCCGATAAACTCTTCAGGTAATAATGAGCAGTCAGCTGATAACTGTTACAGTGTAATAACAAAAAGGTTAGTTTTCCAACTGAAAAACATTAATGTCAGAAGGATTTCAGAAATCAGAAGGACCACACATTTAACATAAAGCTCATCCATCTTCCATTCATGTTTCTCCTATAAAATAAATCACCCTAAACAACAGATGCCAGATAATTAAAATTGATAATAATGTATATCTGATTACATCTGAGGTGTAACTCATTCATTTCTTGTGCAGTAAAATAAAGAAGTTCAGTCATTTATTCTGTTAACTGTGAGGGGTTCAGGAGGTTTTCTTAACTGAAAAAAAAAAATTATATACAGTATAAAAGCTACTTTGGTCTAAAGATCAAAACTGTTTAAATGAGTAATGATCATAACTTCAAGCCTTTGTCTAAAATAGATGCTTGAACAAGAATGCATGTGCAGCCAGAAGTTATGTATGATTAAGACATGAAACTGATTGAATTTAGCAACAATGACATAACTACTTTGATCATAAAGATTCCCTGTATTTTCTGACTGATTAACATTTGGTAAAACTGAGCAAGAGCGATATAATATCCTGTTTTCCAACAAAATAAGCAGCAAAGAATCATAGTTGTTCCTTTAGAACTCAAAGGACTGTCTCCTGTCACTTTTGGATTCTCAACCTATTAAAGGTTAAAAAAGAGAAACATTTAATTTGTTTTTGGTATGTACAGCATTTTTAAAACTCAAAGTATTGTAGTTACTTGACGGTGGAATAAATTGTGCTATGTGCCTGAAAAAGAAGACAAAAGTAGTTCCTCCCCTTTAACAAAAATATTACATAAATAACTCAATTGAAAATAATTGATTGTCTAATCACATTTGATAACAAAGCATAAACTATTATTTATGTTTTAGTAAATAAAATCAAAAGAAAAAAATATTCACAGAGAAATTAATCAAAGCAAGTGTCTGCAGAGGAAAAGTGAATAAATAATAAAGAAAGCTGTGAAGTATACTCTTAGCATATCTAAAATTGCTAATGAGAAACTGCAGTGAACTGATTATGGGTGATGATCATCAGTAAAGTCAGCTTCTCTCTCTCTTTTTAAAAGAATAGAATAATCAAAACAAAGCGCCTTCATGTCTTGTTCTGAACTGGGCGACAGCCCTGCCATGCTGGGGATAAATTATCATCAATACCATGTTTCAGACAATCTGCAACCTGTACAATTATACTCTCAAATCAGAGAGGAGTCTAATCAGGAGCTCCCATCTCATTAAAGTCCAGGTCACTGGTTGTCTCCTCACTGATCAGACATTTTTATTGTCCTAAAATGTTCAATCCAGTCTCTGAGGTAAAGTGGCTCCAAAGGCTTGTCTTGTAATAGTGATGGTCTTGTCTTCACATTATAACATATAAGGAAGTCGCTAAGATGCATCTGCCCATACATGCGAGAAAACGTCTTTGAAGATCTTTTATATCTTCCATTTCTCTGGAGTTTCCCCATTAAACATTACTGGATGTATTTCCACTGATGGAACCAGAAACTACTTAGCCAAATGCTACTTGAAATCCACCAGAAAACTACCCTGAAAGAAATATCGGATTTGTCTGGTTGAGGGCCAGTCTCCTGCAACTTTTAGATGTGTCTCTACTTCAACACATCTGAGTCAAATAGTAAGGTCATTAGCAAGACTCTGGAGAATGTGGCTGAACTTAGGAGGTGATTTAGCTATTTGATTCAGCTGTGTTGGACCAGGGAGATATCCAAGAGTTATAGTACACCAGCTCTCAAGGACCAGGATTGACCACTCCTGTCTTAGACACAGAATAAAGCCATCAAAACTGCTGAGTACTGTTGATTTTTGCATTTTAGCTTTCCATGGAACAGACACACAGCAGCAACATGCATGCAGCTGCACAATATGAGACACTAAAGATCTGTGGATTATAAAAAAAATATATAACATTTTTTTTTCTGAATTAAAGTGATTTAAATTCCACCAGAGTTTAATGTCTTTCAAATTGTCATCAATTATGAGTTTGGATGATTGGAGCTCCTCTTTTTCCTTCCTCCCACATTCTAAAGTTTGGATTTTTGCTCTCTAGCCCAGCATTTTCACACAGTGGTCATCTGTGGTATTTATGCTGTAAATTTGAGTGATTACTGTAAAACTCCTGCACTTTTTCAAACTGATTGTGCTATTTGTTCTTTTACCGTTGCTTCTTTTATTGTTATAATTATCAATCATTCTTGACCATTACAATACCTGCAACTGCCTTTCTTGCGCTCTCATCTTTGAATTCTTCTAAAGACCTTTATTACGTAAAAATAAATTGTTTT